ATGTATAATTTTGATAGTTACTTCCCTAGCCAAGATTCCCAGACTGACTTTAATATTATGCCATTTTAAGGACTATGGAGTGAGTCTGTCCCCTTACACAGAAGTTTGATAATTCCCGAGTAGTTTTCTGGTTTTCCCATTATATTAATATGAATATAATTATGAGTAATGCATGTGCCAATATATTAATCGAACTTAAATAATAATAATAATTAGTCAAAAGATTAAAAATAAATGAAGAAAATATAGAAAAGGAAAGAGGATAATTAATTAATAGCAGGGGCAAGAGGGCTTAAACTAACCAGCTTTCCATGTAGACCTTGTCTTGAATCAATGTCAAAACGGGGCCCAAAGAAACACCTTCTTCATCGTTCCCAAAGTACTTGGACACAGGGGCAAAGCTGTAGACCCTCTGAAAATCAGACCCACCATTAGCAGCAACAGCAGAGCAATTAAGAACAGAGTAGCTGGTGAGGAGCCTGAGGATTCTATCCACCATCATGGGTGCCTCAGGGTTCTTGGTGCCAATCTTGGCTGCAATCTCAGACGAAGAGAGCTTGGCCCCTGGACCCTCTCTGGCTATGATGTCAAAAACCCCAAGCTTAATTGCTGATTGCAGAGACATGGACAGCGCAGTAGAACCCACCAGCTGCATGGCATAGCAGAAGCTTTCTTCTTCCTCTTCCTTTGTAATTTCATCCTCAGGCTCAGCATGATTTATTTTGGGATGGCTTTTTCTCTCCAATGAAGAAGCCATTGGACTATCTATATTTACGTTCTGAAACTCATTGCTAGTGGAATGGGTTTACTTATAGCTAGGTATCATAACATACAATTCACGTGGCTCTAGTATATAATATTCAGACAGTTGGAATACCAATTTATGAAGTAAGGATATAATTTAAAACATCTTCGACATTTTCATCAATATATTTCGCCAATTAATTTTGAATTAATTTTGAGTTTGATGTTCATATTCTAATATATTGTAACAATTAATTTAAGCAACATGGCACCTTCATGAAAATGGTGTCCCGTCTACTTAATCATGTTTAAAACATTCAACTGGAGGGGAATCAAAAGAAATGCTTTGACCATATAAAATGTTGAAAGAGTAATGAATTAATAAAGTCTTACTAATTACCAGCAGGGCATGTACTAAGGGGCATTTCCTATGCTAAGCATATAGTTTTTATTATCTTTGAATGGATATCTACAAAATAGACAGTTTAGATTAGTGAAATACAATGCGAAGTGAACCTTATAAAAGTGTCTTTCAAATAAACTTATTTAAAGAATCCCTTAACGGAATCTCTATATATATATGTGCATGCAACATTAGCCAATCAGCAAAACCAATTTACAAATAGCACATGGGCAGAGCATCTTCTTGACTCAGAGCCTTTGTCTAATTCACAAATGAATAGTTTATCATAATAACATTAAATAGGTAACACTAACAGTTTATGAAATAAGGATATAGTTGTCAAATGATGGTTGACGATGGCAGTTTGGTAAATAACACAGATAAATAACTATGCCTGTCTGGCTGGCGAACTCCATAACCCCAAGATCACCGACAAAGCATTCATACTTGACTTGATGCCACTAAATCCAGCACCAGTTGCCCCTAAACCTTTCTGTACCAAAACATAAAAATACAAAAGAGCTTGGCATTAATTGGACCATCTTTGGCTATGATATCAAAGATGCCAATCTCCTTCGTATTGTCTTCTCTAACCACAAATCAAGGGTAATTAATTAAATGAAAGGGGATTCTGAATAACTAATTGATTTTGGTGGTTGGCATTTTTTTTCCATTGACAAACTTTTTGTTGTTGTTGAAAATTAGATAATTGTACTCAATAATTGATCACAAAAAACAAATACCCATAAAAGATTAATACAAAGATGGATGCACAATAACAGCAAATGGTTAATTCAGATTATATTCATTGACAATCTTTTGTTGCCGCATTAGAGACGACAGTTTTTCCTTCACATGATATTTTACTTCTTAACAATTTGATAACAAAGACACAAAGCACTGAATTTGCAGTTATTATTAATTACTACTAGTAATTAGAAGGTCTGACTAGATGCCATTAAATAGTAGCTAGAAAGGCCATGACCCATGATGATGAGTTCTTTCTTGCTATGCTTTTTTTTTTTTTTTGGTCTGACCATGAGGTGGTCCTGGATGGGCCCCAATTATGGGTGGCACCTTTAAGCCTTAACCACAACCCAGACTAATCCCCACTCACACCGGATCGGCCCGTAAGGGGTAAAGTGTTGGCCAAAGTGGTGACTCCGTACGAGAGCAGAGATTGAACCCCTGACCTCTCTTAAGGAATGAGAGTGCCGAACCACTCACACCAACCACCTTGGTTTCTTGCTATGCTTTTTCACTCTCAACCACGATTGCTTTTCCATTGTATGAAATTGCATTACACTGTGTTAAAAAAGTGTGAATTCAACGTCAGGGAATTAAAGTCTTGCCTAATTATTTAAAAAATCTTTAGTATTTTCATCAATTACCAATTGATTTTGAATTTTATGTTCACTTTCAAAAGTACATTCTAAAGGTGTTTATTAAGGATTCTTTAGTCTTCTTGATGAGAAAATGTTTAGCAATTTGACCATTAATTTCCATTTGATTTGACAGAATATCCGAATGGCAAACCCGGCGATTGTATTCTCCCATACTGTGAATGGTGTTTCCAAAGTACATTCAGAATTGCGAAAAGCAAAATTATTCAAGGTACTATGTGTTCCTTGGATTGTTGTCTTTTCCCTTGGCTCATGACAAAGTTGAAGATATCCAAATTCTTATGATACCTTAAATTAGGTCACTTTGAATTAGTGAAATACAATGCATATGGATCCTACAAGAGTGTCTCTCAAATAAATTTATTTAAGGAATCCTCAAAGGAATCTCTATAGAAATGCGCATGCAACATTAGCCAATTAAGTAGAGATAAAGAAAAACCATTTTCTATAATAACCAATCAGCAAAACCAATTTACAAATAGCAAATGGGCAGAGCATCTTCTTGACTCAGAGGCTTTGTCTAATTCACAATAATAACATTAAATAGGTCACGCGCGCTATGCAAGTGTAAAAGAATAACAGTTTATGAAATAAGGATATAGTTGTCAAATGATGGTTGACGATGGCAGTTTGGTAAATAACATAGATAATTAACTATGCCTTTCTAGCTAGCTACTGAAAGAATCCATCACCCCCAGATCACCGGCAAAGCATTCATACTTGACTTGATGCCATGAAATCCAGCACCAGTTGGCAAGGCCATGACCCATGATGATGAGTTCTTTCTTGCTATGCCTTTTCACTCTCAACCACAATTACTTTTCCATTGTATGAATTTGCATTGCACTATGTTAAAAGAGTGAATTCCACGTTGGGGAATTAAAGTCTTGCCTAATTGTTTAAAAAATCTTTAGTATTTTCATCAATTACCAATTGATTTTGAATTTTATGTTCACATTCTAATAATATATCGTAACAATTTTTCTACAAACTAAAGTCTAACATGTCATTGCCACCTCAAAATTAATAATTCAATCAAGACTTCGATGAAAATAGAGCATATATATATATATATATAAAGTCACAGGTACTAATATGAATTTCCAAGCCTTAAGCAAAAGCCCGAAGAACCAAACGCTTTTAATTCAGAGTCATACGTCTTGTGCAAATATCAAAGTTCCTCAAATGATTAGATGGTCAGATGTTAGTTTACCTAAAGATTGGGTTTTAACCACGGAATGCCCCCCTAAGCCAATTCAACGAAGCCTTAATGATTTAGATTACATTCAACCATATTTAGACGGTACGGTCAAAATTAGTTTTGATAGGCCAGTCAAGACCACAGTCCAATTAGAACAGTTACCTACGCCTAGTCAATCTTTTAAGCCCCCAACAGTAGAGTTGCCGCATTAATTACTCATGTTATTTTAGTTTTTAATATTAACAATGATTCTTCAAAAAATTCGAACTTAAGACTTCTTCAAACCAACATAAAAATTCGATGATTGACTATTCCCTAGTATTGTTAATTATAGGCCATGACTTTTATTTATTTATTTGGTTGTGATAAATTGATTGTACCAAAAACCAAAATATACATACAAACCCAATTCAATCAAGAATTGAATGTCTGAAAAAACAAACCAGTGATGTCTTGAATCTGTTACCCAAAACGATTGGAGGCCCAAACAGAATCAAAGCCATGAGAAGGGCCTTAGGAAGCACCATTCATTGTCACAAGGTAGTTGGACACAGCACAAAGGTTAAGGCTAGCTGTGCATAGAGCCTCTGAAGAGAGCTTGGCATGGCATTGCCAACGAGAGTTGGTTGAGTTAGTAAAAATCGTTCTCTTCATTATCCAAGTCTAGGTTCGAGTCATGCTGCTGACAATCTCTTTTGATGGGTAATTTGTAAAAAAATAAAAAAAAGGGGGGATTAAGACCCCCTCTGTAAGCCCTCAAAAATACCTTGGTATGTCTTGGCCTTAGAATAGGGTAGTCTTCCCTCCCCTAAACTTTTCTGTACAAAAAAATAATAAATAAATAAAAAGAGAGCTTGTTGGACCATCTTTGGCTATGATATCAAAGATGCCAATCTCAATTAACTTATAAATTGTGTGAGTTGTAGCCAGAAAGGGAAAATTAGAAAGATTTGTTCTCCTCATTGATCAAAACAGAATGAAAGATTTGTTCTACAGGGCATTAGAGACGACAGTTTTTCTTTCACATGATATTTTATTTCTTAACAATTTGATAACAAAGACACAAAGCACTGAATTTGTAGTTATTATTAATTAATGCCAGTAATTAGAAGGTCAGAGAGGGTTCAATAAACAACAGCATGGGGAGATTATTGAGAGCTTAATGAAATGATTAAGCAAGAGAGGTAGTCTTAAACAAGTCCAAAGAGGATCGAGTGTTGAGGCCTCTGTCCCAGAATTTCTCATAGAACTCAGCGTAGGTAAAGCTCCTGTAGAGGGGAGGGTGATGATCATCAACAAGTAGTGGGGCTGGCTCCATCACAGCATCATACGATGGGCAATAGAATGTTGGGATGGAGATCCTTTCCTTGTCGCAATTCACCACTGCTCGATGGAGTACACTCTTATAACGATCATTACTAACAACCTGAACAAAAAAATTAAAAAAAAATAAGGTTTTTTTCCTATAAGACAAAGTAAACTAGAACTTGCCCTGGGTAAACAGAAAAGTAAATGGTGCTAGCTGGTACTATTTCTTGATTCATAGTTGACTACAGCCATGAAAATCAGTGACGGTCCAATGCAACGTACCTGATACGTCTTACGTGGTCATTTACGTAGTCATTTGCTGGAACATACACGTGAAGAAGCTTCTATGCGGTTCAACCCAAAAATTTGTTGAAATTGGTTTAAGGGTTTCAAGCGGCATGAAGACCTACTTAAATCTGCTAATATCTAGCCTATTGAAAAAAGGTCTTAATTTGTAGGCTTGGGGTTTCAAGTTCGCAGGGCCGTCCCTGAGATTTTGAGGGCCCTGTGCAAAATTTAAATTGGGGCCTCACATAATCTAATACAAAAATACTATAAATTTTTTTTTGCCATGACTTAATGTTATAAACAATTTTTTTTATACCTAAAAGTCACAATCAATAAATATGTAATGACAATCAGAAATCAAATTCATAAAAATTTAAATGTGTCCATTTGATAAATTTAAATGTTTGGTACAAAAATAAGCTCATTGTGCCCCTAAAAGGTCCCTTGCTGCCTTCAATAAGCAATCTCTGGTTAATAGGAAGAAAAAAAATTGGCAATAACAAATTAAAGAGTAGTCTGACTATTTGATTTTGAGTGGTCTTTATGAATTTAGGAATTAGGAATTTCTCTTTTTGGTGTTGAAATTCCTGAAATTGAAAGAATAACAAAAATTGTCAAATGATTGAAAAAAAACCAAATAAAGATTGATGAATGATGATGATTACTTACCAGAAAATCAGAGTTTAAGAGAAAGAAAAAACCATGAAGTATTTTTGGTTTTGAAGTAAAAAGTGTTTGGGGAATATATATACTCTTCTTGTTGTTAACTTCGATGTTTCCCTTTTTTTTTTAAAAGGCTTTCTGTTTTTTTTTTTAAAATTTATATTTATAATAATTATGTAAAGTTTATGGTTATAAAGCAAAAATAATATAAAAAAGCCAAATGGACTGACTTCAGGCAGAATCGAACTCTGGTGCTTCCAATAAGTGAACATGCGCTGGAGCCAACTCCACCAGACATGCTCTTGTGTAAACATTTTGCACGCTATACTATATATACAATATAAAGAAATTTTTTTTTGGGGCCCTCAAGAATCGGAGGCCCTGTGCGGTGGCGCCACTTGCACCACCCCAGGGCCGCCCCTGACTATATCCATTATAATTAGTTTATAAGGTTGCTTCATATAAAGGAAAGCATAACAATCTGATGGAAATAGAACTCTCCTTATAAATTATTGAAGAGGTTCAATAAATGGGGATGATTTTGCTGACCTGGATTTGATCACCAATGTTGACAATGAACGTATGTGGCATGGGCTTGACTGCAACCCATCTGCAATTGTTGAAGACCTGCAAGCCTTCCACGTCATCTTGAAGGAGAACGGTGACGACATTAGGATCAGCATGACCAGGTAAGCCATAGGTCAGCTCTGGCTGAGGGCATGGCGGATAGTAATTGATACCCATGTGCTGCCCATGCTTCCCCAATGCCCTGTTCATGTAATCCTTTTCTAAGCCTAAGCTTTCTGATATGGCTTCCAGAAGTCTCTCTGCTAATCCTTTCACATTCCTGCAATACTCGGCCACATCTTCCCTGCAAAATTTCAAATCTAATTAGAGAAGGCTCTTAATCTTAATTAATTCTATCAAAAGTTTACCTAATCAATATAGATTCACAGTCTCGCAACATAATTAACATATTAAGTGTGTGTTACATTATAATAAGTATTTGTCTCACAACATAAATCTCGAACGCCCGACCTAATTCACAGTCGCAACATAATTAACATATTAAGTGTGTGTTACATTATAATAAGTATTTGTCTCACAACATAAATCTCGAACGCCCGACCTGAAAGACGGAGGGTTGGAGGGCCATTCATGCATGTAGTCCTCGAGAGGGTAGCAATGGAGTCTCAAGTAATCTCTCCAGCTGGAGACCTTCTCAGTTTTGACATTGAAACTGGTGGACAGTCTTGTGGTCTTCAACGGGTCGTCGGAGAAACACTTGAGCCTTTCACTTTCTGGCAGATGAAAAAACTCCCTTGCTACTTTCAACATGTTGTCGATCACGGCCTCTTCAATTGCATGGTTTTGGACCTCAAATATTTTAATTTTACAATGAAAGAATTAAATTACATTTTTACCTTAATTAAAAAAAGAATTTATTAATTATGTGTTACCTGAAAGAAACCATAATTTTGGCAGGCAAGGCCTATCTGGTTGATTATTTCATGGCGCCTCGAACCTTCGAAACCGTGGAAATTGATGAGAGGGATAGAGTGATCGGAGGGCTGGACTTGGTCGAGACTTGGACGATCATGTACAGGCCGGACATAGTTGGAGGGAACACAAGTCACACCAGAGGCAAGATCGGATAATAATTTGGCAGCCATTATATGTTGTAACACTACAAGTTTTCAAAGTTTTCAAGGATCCCTGCAGCTGCTTGCGCTTTGATCTCCAAATATTTCTTTAAGCTTTACCAATATATAAGGTGGTCAGTGAACATCTTCAAACGAAAAAAAAAAGGGTAAAAAAAAAAGAGAATAAAGAAAAAGACAAGAAAAATAAGTGTAGGGGTGTAATTACAGGATCCTCTTGTGTGTTTTGTCTACTCTGAGATCTAATGTTACATGTATCATATTTACTAATCGAATTCGCTATTAATTTAATATTATTGCATCATCATTGGCGTGTCAAATCTGAATATTGTGTTTTATATGTAACCTTAGGCATGAATGAATGAACAAGTTTGGCAATGTTTCTATTACAAAATCAGCATAAGTATTTAATATTGCTATACAATCTAGAAAGAGAACATTAAAATCATCTTTTTAGGTAATTTGTTAGTTTAGTTTCAATTGCTATAGAATCTAGTAAGAGAATATTTCAACGAGTTTACAAGTAATTTAATACTTTAGTTTCTGTTTCTTTGAGCCTATCCTATCTGTTATAGAATTATTCTATAATTGTGAAAAATTCATGAGCTATCCTTTAATTATTTATTCATAGCTCTTATTTTAAAGTTCATAATTCGTAATTTGTAATTTGTAAATGAATAATGCTACTCTTATCACCTTTGTGTACCACGTTCCCATACCACATTATGTGGCAGATGAGGTGAACAACCACATCAATTAAAATTAATTTTACATTTTTTTTTTTTTTTGATTTATTGACACTTTTTAATTGATGTAGATGTCCACTTCATCTGCCACATAAGGTGGTACGAGAATGTGTTATACAAATGTGGTAAAAGTAGCATTAGTCTTTGTAAATCTCGCCTCTTTGGGTGCACTTCCTTATCCAACTCGTTGTAATTAACGAATCTCCACTTGCAAAAATAATCTTTAAACGGTGACTCAGAAAATGAATGATTATGAGTAATCAAAACAGGATGGTATTATCCTAAAATCAAAGGTTTTTAAAAATATATATATATATATATATCTTTTTGGTGTGTTATATAGAGTTATTTGACATACATTACCAAATATTTAATTAACTGCGCCTTTCCATTCAACACTAACTCCAAAGACCCTTTCCAAGTTCTAATCGCACTTCATCTGTCTCAACTTCATGTGTTATTTTATTTGACCAAAAAAAACATCCTGTTTTAAAACACTTTACACTTCCTCCACCTATTCTACATTTCGACCGCATAAGTACGCTCTCACTTTTTGACCCAAATTATTTTAGAAGCATCTAAAAATAGTAAAAAGAAAATTCAATTCAGCTGCTTCAAATAGTCCATGGCATCAGCCTACCAACTTGATAAAGAAGGTGTGAAAATTCGCCAAGAAATTGGAGGACTATGACATCCGCGGGAATCGAATTCCACTTTTATGTTCTCCAATATCTCATAAAAGGTCAAGCTTTAACTTTTGGTTTCAAGATAAACCAAATTTCAACATTGCTGATGTAGCACTACTAGAACATTAGCTTTTCTAGATGGTTAGTATATGGTGAAAAGTCAGGTCCCATTCAACAACGTTGAAACGTTTTTCAACTTTTTTTTCTTTTTTTTGAGTAATTTACGTTTCAACTTTTCTTTCAGTCTTCCATACCGTCATTCTGATGCCCCTTAATCTTGAGGTCCTGTGTAAGTGAAAAACTCTGGGGTAATACATCTCTTGAGAATAGTGCACGAAAGGCCAGGCGCCCCTAACAAAGGTATAGTTAACATGATAAGAGAAAGATGAATTGGAAAAACAGATTGGACAAAACCAATCCGATTGCAAAGCATATATGTTCAAATACCTCTTCAGAGACCTCTTTCCATGAATCATACATGTTGCTGACACATCTACTGCGACGTTGACTATACTCAGCAGCTGGGTGACTTGTATTAGGCTCTTTTAGTTCTTCCTTCCCTTTCTCATTCTTCTCTATTGCAGCTGTCTCGTCTTCGCTGTCGCATGGTGTGTTGGAACCATACGAGGAACGGTCAACCTGCTTTTGTTTTTTGGTTTGATAAGAAGCTCTGAAAATAGATGAAAAAGTACTAGAAGAACCAAACAATATAAAAGGAAACCTTTTTTCTTATCCTTGCATGGTTTGAATCATGAACTTCTTCAGTTGACGCAACGTCCTTCTCATCATCAGTATTAGCCTTTGCAATGTTTGAATGTTGAGCTTCCACAGCTTCCGTGTGTTTTGAGTCCAATTGTTGATCCTGCAAGGAAGGAATTTGAAGAGAACTCTCTCCTCTCTCTCTCTTGGCTGGAGGAGCTTGACCAGTATCCATTGATGGAACTGGAACCCCGGTCATAGAGATGGGAGAACAGCTAAAATCAGTTTGAAGAGGAAGCAGTCTATGGACTGCCCACCAAGCAGTTGCAGCAGTTACAGTGGCAGCAGCAATTGCTGCCATACTTGGGGGGTCTTCCCTATTTTTCACATTTGCATAAGGCCAAAATGCAGCTGTAGAGCTAGCCGCAGAATGGGCTGCAGGATTTTGTAACAGAGAAGACACAGTAATACTTGAAAATTTCTCACCTTGAACCAACTCCTTTTGAAAAGCATTATTAGTGTTCCCCAAATTTGGAGCTCCACTTGTGCCAGTATCGCCAACTATCATTTTGGCATCAATTTTCTTCAAATTCTGATTTCCTTTAAGTTTAATAGTGACATGAGATTCATTTGTTGCATCCCTAAAAGTGCAAGCATTTCCGAGTGCTACCTGTGAGGGTATGGCATTATTGTTTGCAGAAGAAACAGAGGAGCAATGATCATCTTGGAGCAAGGTGAAGACTTCTGCGCAATTGGCTACCTGATTTTCTGCATTATTTGCCTTTTCTTCTCCAAAAGGTCTCTGATCATAAAGAAGTCGTAGGTCAAGTAATATTACATGCTTAAGAATAGAAGCATGAGAACAAGAGACGGCTATGTATTAGAGAAATATATGATAAAAATGATAACCTCATGAAGTGGTTCTTTCTCCAAGTCGACTACTTGTTTATAGCGTGAAGAAGATGCTGATGACAAAAGTTTTCCAACCTTTGCTCCCACATGCAATGTGGCACATGTCGATGCAGCTGAACAAGACTTTCGAGGATAAGGATTGCTTGGTTTTCTTTTGGGACGCGGAGGCGGAATATCAATGCCAATTGATTGTCCTATGGGAACACCATTAACGTGTGCCTCCTTCTCCAGCTGGTAGTGAAACAATTTCTTGTCAGTCTTCATATTTAAATTTATATAAGTTTTACCGGACACCAAAACTAGTGGTCTGATTCAAGACAGAATGGAGTGGAATATCTCAGATACTCTGGTGAAAGCTCAAGCATCATTAGTTAACCTAAACCTATATTATGTACCCAAAAAAAAGAAGGAAGTCTATTGATACCCTCAAGAACTTGTGCACAGTTAGCCTCACTATAGGTTGCCAGTGGCGAAGAGGTTCCAAATGAGGTGCGCCCATAATCAGTGGAACTTGATTGCATCTAACCTAGGCCGCCAGATTTAGTGTTGTTGAATTACCAATTAACTTTGTATATGAAACAAATGGCGACTTGGGATTCATAGTAAAGATATAACATTAAGTAAACAGTATAAAACCTAAAGTGCAAATTAAAGGATCAATATTTTTGGAAAACCAACAATAGGCCGGACACATCTAAAATAACCAAGAGTTGAGAAGGTACCAATTGACCTTTGAAAAGAATTTCTGAGCATGACTCCTGATCTGCACAGCAGTCTTTGTTCCAATATGTTCTGCAAATCAAAAACAGAAGAAAAAAACACATGAAAAAAAACATTTCTAGTCATTGGTAAAAAGAGATATTTAGCATATTCAGCTGAAGGCTAACAAGAAACTCAGACTATAAATGCAAACAAATCGACTTCCAACCCTTTCGCAATAGCGGTAAGTAAAGAAATGAACAAATGGGCTAAGATAAAATCAAAGCTAATGTGCCCTAACCTTCAATGCGCTGCCATGCTCGGCCATAGAGCTTCAGGGCTTCAAGAAACTTATTATGCTCCTCATGTGTCCATCGCTCTCGCTGCTTGGTAATTGTATATGGCTTTCTTGCCTGCCATCAACAAAAATCCAGAAATTCAGCTACTTTGCTCTTACTAAACAATTTCAATTTTAAGTTTAACAAAAAGACAGTCTCAGCTCTGTTACCTTGATGACCAAATCTTCCCTAGATGAGTTTGGTTCCATTACTAGTCAAAAACAGCTGAGAAGAAACCAAGGCACAATTAAGCAGTTGATTTTTGTTTTTGTTTTTTTGGTAACAATTAAGCACTTCAATTTCAAATAGTGCAATCTTAGCCATCTACTTGGTTGCAGAGAAAATGAAAACAAACAAGAAAAGAAAATTAATTTTGAATGTTGAAATATGAGCTTCTTCACCATTTCCTCAGTTCAGATGAAGTTTATCAGTTCTCTTCTTCATCAAATTCGAAGCTCAAAAGCTCAAAATCATTACACATTTATTTATTTATACTTAGAATTTTCTGATCAGCAACCAAACGGAGAGTGAAGAACAAGGCCAATCAATCCCAAAGGGAAGCGAAAGCGTACCTTCTGAGAAAGCCATGGCGGATTGAGAGCTTTCGAGAAGACGATGGATGGTGGCTGAGACTCCAATAGCTCGCCGGACACTCGCCGGAGAAAGCATAGTTTTCGTTAGTGGATGCGAATGGTTCAAAAATCGAAGGCAATTGCACAAACTCCATAGAGTATATAGAGGCATTGAGTTTGGCTAGGGGAACCATCTCAGCCTTAGGCCCGCCATTTGGTTCGGCTAAACCAAACAGACGGATTGAACGAACTTTTCTGAGTTTGGCAACCGATTTCCAAAACTATCAACAACAAAAATTTAAATTTTGGTTTAATTTTGATAAGTGCTCAAAAAATCTAATTTTATCAATATCCACCACTGATAACGAAAAACATTGAAGGAATCACATAAATATTTGTCAAAATATTTAGGCAAATATTAGTATAAAATCATTATAATCTTATAGAATTTTTCTCGTAGTGCGGTTCTTTGAGATGTTCATATGCGCGCTTGAGGACTTAGCCAAGCATGGGAGGTAAACTCTCGTGCAACAGGAATACCATTTTTTTTCTATTACGACTAATAACACGATGATATAAAAGATAACTTTTTCATGTGTCATTATATTATTTGTTCATAATAGCAAAACAATATTATTCCCGTCGTTACAAAAAAAGGTTTTTTTTTTCAAGTATAGGTGTTCACTTTCACAACAAATTTTTTTCAAGCTTAAGGTACTTAATCTCTATTAGCAAATGCGATTGGTAATGGTATTGAATTGATTGATACTTAAAGTTCCCACACAGTTCCATTTGGCCTACTAAGAACCCGCCAAGCTCACACATGGACAAAGTTTTGGGTCCACCAATGCCCATGCGGTTAATACATTATTGATATTTGACCATACATGTCCATAAATTGATTGAACTAGTTCAGTTAACCACATTGAAGAATCACATATATGCATGAAATGCGAAAACCAAAAGAAAAAGAATTAAGAAGATGAACTCCGCCTTATGCAATAGATAAAAGTGTCTTTCTTTTCAGTGTTGAAAAGAGGTTTTAAGTTCGAATCTCGCCGACTCAGTTGATAAAAAGAGACAGGGAATTCTCTACAGATAAATACAAATGAGACTTTAACTTTATTTATCTTCAAGCAATAAGTCATTCAACATTTGCTCCTGAAGAATAATAACCACCATGTGTACCGACATCACATCCACTACTATTTCTTGTGAATTTTACTTTTTCCAATCAAATTATTTGAGGCTACTAAAGCCTCCTCATGTCATAAGACCCGCACGCCAAGGCATCGCGATAGGTGTCGCACAGGTTGCGGCTGAGTTGCTTTTCCCTCACATTTGCACTTTTTCCAATCTTTTTAAATATTTTTATTATTTATTTATTTTCACCTTGAATCTCATCCACAAACTCTCTTAGCTGTGCGACCTGGGTCCCAGATGACGTGACATTTCAAGAGGGAGGGAGGGACCGTCCGGTCCGGTCGTATGGTACGGAACAACGAACGAGAAACATGTGGCATCGTTCTGATCCGCCACGTGGGGAGAGATCCGACCGCACGAAGCACCGGTTCGCACACTGCGGTTACAGTCCGGTATCTTTTACTGAAAACAACAACGGTCCCATCCCGTACTTTTTTTGGTAAATCAGGTCCATGCAGTGCAGGTCATGGAGTTGGTCGTGGCCGTTCGTTTGTTTGGCGGCCAAGCCTCCCTCCTCCTGCTTTGAAATGAAAAAACTATGCCGCAGCAATTTGACCACGAGGAATTTTTCAAAGAGGAAAGCTTCTGTTTCACTTTCATGTCGGTACGTTACTGCCAAGAGTATGTGAACTGTACTCTACCATAAAGTATGTGAACTAATATCACGACATAGCAATGTTATGCTATCACACACAAACGTTTTTATTCGAAACTTCCAATCCAAGTTACCTAACAAGTTTGGAAACCCTTAAATCATTCACTTCGCTAAGCATTCGGTTGTTAGATGTCGTGTTAAGCCTTTAATTCTTTAATTTATTGTTACATGTCATGTTAAGCCTTTAATTTGTGTTCGTTAGTCGCCCCGTTGTGTTTGAAATTTTTGTGAAAGTGTAATCAAATGTGTGAGAGATGTAATTACAATCACATGATGATGATGATGATGATGATGACATTATTAAAACGAAAATAAATGTGCAAATGTGAAAGTTATCATGCTAAGATGTGATGCGTGTGTATCACTTTTTTTTTACCAAACTCTCCATTTCAAGTACTCTTCATTTTGAATTTCTAGTATAGCTCTCCAATGCGAAATTTGTAACTTATGTAAATAATTAATCTCAAATAGATTTATGTTCAAACCCTTTCTCAACGAGAACCTAGGAAGTCAACAACACATATTTTACCTTACGACTAAGCTATGGACCCATTGGCTAGTCCAAAACACAATTGAATTCAACATTCTTGAAATGTTAGAAAAACTAATCATGTACAAGGTTTATCCAGGGCACCCTGCCTCCAGCAAGAGACCTATTGTTTGCTAACATCACACTTGCAGCAGACATAATTGAAAAAATTATATTCATTACTATATAAATAAAAAATACATTATTGCTGATGAGTATTTTGATTAGGTTTAATTAGTCACATTAAAAAACAAATTATAAAAAAAAAAGATATCTTCGGGGGTGTTTGGTATACCGGATTAAGGGTGTGACTAAATTTATCTTAGACTAGACCACCCATTTTCCTCATCACCCATGTGGAAATGAGCTTGTTTTAAGTGACACTTAGCTAACTCAGCTTTTAGCTTTAACCTTATCTTCACCTTTTCTTCCATGGCATGTGGTTTGGTTCTGCTAAAAACCCTAAACCCAACTCTAAGCACTTTTTGTTATGGTCTATAATCCCTGTTTTACCCTTTTGTCAAGCAGCTCTTTCTCAGTCACACAAGGACCAACAAACCACATTATATGTAAATTAATGGCGTTTTATTTTAATAAAATTTATGAACTGTACTGAGATGAAAAGTTTAGCAAGATTTCTCCACTAAGAGAAATTCCTCGTGTTGGTGTCCGGACAAATTCAGCGGGTGCATAATCCTCTGTATTGTTTCTTTCTCAATGCAAGAGGGGAACATGTCACACGCCCGCCCAAACTCATTTCAGACTTACGCTTTTGTTATTAAAAAATAAAAATCAAATCAAATTTATGGCAATTGGTTAGATTAGTGAATTTGTTCCTTGTATTTAAGTTTGAGTTCTCTACATCGTAGTCTACATTATTGTTTGTATTATGCTTTTTCGAGTATCAGTGATTGGGGTATGGGAGTCTACACAAATATTTATTGGATGCCAAGAAGTTTCGAATCTCTGTCCACATGAGTAAGGTAGAAGAACTCAATACCCTACTAGCGTTTGTATTATGCTTTTGTTTTTTTTATTTTTAAAGTCAAACTTATAGTCTATGTAAGTTAAGCCTGCCAATGAGTCCGTAAATTAGAATGGAAAACTTGAGCATGGTGGCCTAAAAATTTGATTATAAAAAAAAAATATGGTGGCCTAACAAAGAAACAGCCATGATCAACTGTGTTACATGCACGATACTGATTGTCCATAAATGTATTGGGTCGTTTATTTACGAGTAATGCTATTTAGACACACAACATTGACCACTTTAGATTATCACCTTATATGGCAATTGATGTGCCATGCCAAATCAATTAATGAATGTCACCATGTCAATTAAAAAACAAATTAAAAAACCCTAGCATTCCTAGTAAGTGGCCTCATGGCAACATTCATTAATTGATATGACATGACACATTAGTTGCCACATAAGGTGGTCAGTTAAGGTGGTCAATGTTGTGTGTCTAAATAGTATTACTCTTTATTAAATACAAACGGGTGGTGCTAGAGGCACCAACTTTGGGCACCAACTCTCTAATAGAGGTGGAGCCCGCGAATACAACGGGTCCCATACTCTAATAGAGAGTTGGTGCCCAAAGTTGGTGCCTCTAATATTTTCCAATACAAAAAAGGTTTTGGATCATAGCCTCACATGAGAACCGTGCCTACCGTGTACCCCGGTGCGCTTTCACACGAACGGTCTGATCTCTTTCCATGTGGCAATCACGTTCGTTAAAATCCATCGTCCTCGTCCATTGGTCCGTACCGTATTTGAACCGGACATCAACCGTTTCCCGGTTGTTCTCTCCCCTCCCATACATTTCAAACGCCACGTCAACGGAGGGCCCACAGCGCACAGCTGGATGCGCTTTTACGAACGTAGCCTCAGCGCGGAGAGTTTGTGGTTGTGGATGCGGAGGAATTATAGAATAGTACGGATGTACCACGTCAGCGTATGATACTCCCATTCAAATTTCGACATGTGTCCATTTTTAAAAAGAAATTAATTACTTTATTACACCTGCACTTACTTAACTTTTATCTTTTAAAATAAAAAAGAAAGAAAGAAAGAATTTTCCAACCCTTCGTCCCCAACCCAAACACCCATCACCCCCAACCTGTGCCACCCCTATCCTTGCTCTTCCTCTTCAAAATCGAATGCTCAGTAGACAATTGACCTAGAATCCGATTTTGAACCCAAGTCTTTTATTAGCCAAATCAAATTGAAGAAGATTGTCCTCCAATTGATGCGCTCTGTCTGATCACAATGGCAGCACCTTGGGTTACTTGGGCACAGCCCAGCATCCACAAAATCCCAAACACAACACATCTTTACGCACTTGCACCATTGAATTTGCTACCAACACACCCTCTAGTACACTCTCACTCTGCAACACAAAATCAATGGAAGGCACAACCGATGTGGATTGAGTTGAAGTATACTCTGAAAGGTGCTACAGACACCACCCTAGGAATTTGAGCATGGAGTAGCTTCAGAAATGCAAGGGGTCAACAGGAAGAGCAAGGGAGAGGGGTGGCGCAGGTTTGAGTTGGAGACGGAGGGTTGGAAAATTCTTTAATTTTCTTTTTAAAGATTTTTCTAATTTTATTTTAAAAGATAAAAGTTAAGTAAGTCTAGGTGTAATAAAGTAATTAATTTCTTTTTAGAAATGGACACATGTCGAAATTTGAATGGGAGTATCATACGCTGACGTGGTACATCTGTACTGTTCTATAATTTCTCGTGGATGAGAATCGACGGTGAAAAAAATATATATATATAATTTTTGAATTAATTTAAAAAAAAGAAGGAAAAAGAGCATGTGTGGGCTACAACTAACGCAGCCGCTAAATTTTCGACACGTGGCGTGATCCTAAGACACACTCGTATCAAGTAGAAGGCTTTAAGGCTTTGACAGCCTCAAATAATTAAAAAAGAAAAAAGAAAATGGAGGGGAAATAGTAGTGGCTGAGAATGCTCCTTGCTCACAACAACTGGAGCTTCTGGTGTGTTGGGACAGATGGTTAAGATTGCAGAACAAGGTCTGTCTGAGTCAGTAATAGAAATGGATATTGTTTACTGATCAAACTTTCTCTCTCTTCTTGTTCGCCTTTTTTCGTAGTTAAAGGTTTTGGCGTGTGCCGGTTCGTTTTGGTGAGGATTCTGAATAAGGAAATTTATTTTAGTTCTTTCGGTGACGCCTCTCTCTCTCTGTGATGCGCGGTGGAGTCTGAAATTTTCATTAGAACAGTTCTGTTTTCGATTTTCGGTTTCTATAAAGTATCGTCTAGTTAGCTTCAGTGCATATGAAATTGGACTGCTTAATTCTGCTGCTATAAAATCAGAGACGGATCTCTACCGATTGCTGTGGCTTGTTTTCTTTTTGCAGTAGCATCACCTTCTCAGCTCTTCTTTAGTAGGACAACCAAGACGGCTTTACTCGTACTAAACCTCGCTGCTTTCACAAATGAGAGAAGGTTCTTGTTCTATCCGTTGCTCGTCAGAGAGGATTTGAAGCAGCGCAAGCTGCGCGGGTCCGGTAATGGACACACAGTCATCCGGAGAAGATTTGGTCATTAAGGTAACACAGATGGACTCTCTTTTGTTAAATTTGGAATTGCCTAGTGAGGTCTAAGTAGCCGAATTCCTGTGTTCCTGTTAATGGTAGGCAAGAAAGCCATATACTATTACCAAGCAACGAGAGCGATGGACAGAGGAGGAGCATAACAGGTTTCTTGATGCCTTGAAGCTCTATGGCCGAGCATGGCAGCGCATTGAAGGTTAGTTTGAATTTTGTATTATCCCTTTTGTTCATTTCTTTACTTATATCTGTTGAGAAAGGGCTCCAAGTGGATTCGTTTGCATTTATAGTGTCAATTTCTTGTTAGTCTTCAGCTGAATCTGCCAAGTATCTTTTGTTAACAATGATTTGAAATGCTGTTTCTTATGTGTTTTTTTCCTTATTTTGGGACATCATCTTTCTCCCTTTCCCCCCTTTTTTCTTCGCATTTTTTGTTTGCAGAACATATTGGAACAAAGACTGCTGTGCAAATCAGAAGTCATGCTCAGAAATTTTTTTCAAAGGTCAATTGGTACCTTCTCACCTTATGCTTATTTGATATGTGGTTCTTTTTTTTTTCGTCCTATTGCTTGGTTTTCCAAAACATTGATCCTTTAATTTGCATTTCTAGGTTTTTATTTTTTATGAAATGCTGTTGGTAATTTATTCTATCATAGCAGGTGCATTATAGTTCCATTGCCGTGACTGTAACCATGATGTCATCTCATTTAGCTATGAAAAACTATGAGGCCTTTACAGATTCTTGTAAATGCTACTCTGGTAGAATGCATTTGTTCTTTCATATGGCTCTTTCATATGATTGCTAGCCATACTAAATTCAATAAAAAGGATGGCCCTGTGCATGAGGTTCCGTCAATGCGAGGTCTGGAAAGGGTAAGATGTACCGACCCATACCACTGTTTTCAAAGAGGCTGTTTCCACGACTAAAACATGCAACCACAAGTTGTTTGGGGCAAGCCATACATGGAACTGGCTGAAATTATTTTATCTTTAAATTTTCAATGTTATGCATGATAAACCAAATGTATGCGGAAGTGACTAAAATATAATTTCAAATTTGAACACAAATGCAGTTGCTAATTTTTAAGTTTCTCTGAAGGCTTACTTTTATAGAAAATGGGTATACGGGAATTCGGTTTAGCTGCAGGGTTTCTGACTGGTTCCCATCCTTTGGCTGAAAGAAATCCCTGTAGAATATGCCCAAAAGTAGATGTCAACAGAAAGTTTGAAAAGAAATTTGTGGTAGCAAATGTTGGTTTATTGTTATGCTGCTGTCAAGGAGATTTCATCGGTAGGAAAAGATGTACATGCCTTCTGCAGTTAGGAAAATATCAATAAATGAGTTGTGTGGTTCTTTCATAATTTCAAGATGTCAGTCATGATCTTACTAAATGTTTCCTAGTCATTCATTATACAGGAGGGCTTGACCTTATAGAAAAGGGCGCCCTTGGGAGTTTGGGAAGGTATATTGGCTGCTATCATATGATTATACCTAGTGAAGCATCCGTACAGATCAGTAACTGGGAAAGTTCTTGCAACATACCGTTCATGTGACAGGCCCACATACAAATTGTGGACTACAGTGTGTACACTGATTTATCTTCTCAGCATACTCGGAATGATGTTTGCTTTTAGAAAATTATTGCACTTGTTAGATGAATTAGCTGAGATTGACTTGTCTACTAGGCCTTTGATTGATCATCATTCATCATCTAAAAGGACTTTGATTAGGAAAATTTGATTTCAGGATTAGTGTGGATGGAGGGGCACATGATTTTGTACTCTGACTACAGTTCTGAGTGAGAAGCTTAAATTTAAAGACATAGTGGCTCAACTTCAATGGATATTCTTAGGCTTCAAAGAAAGAAAACTTTACTGTTGGGTTTAAAGGTGAAATGGAGGCTACGGACTGGTGCATGTAGGTATTTTGAGCATTTTATGGGTATAACTGTATAGGAGAGAGAATTTTGGTTTAGGTATGGCTAGGAAAAGTGTGGAACTTGGTTCTATCAGGTGCTGTTAATAACGAAAGAGCAATGGAACTGGTTGAAATTTGATAGAGAAAAGATAGCGTCATGCCAAGGTAGGGGTTTTAAGGTTTTCAGAGTAATACATAGGGTTTGCTTATTGGCTGCTTCCAATAGAGTAAATATTGAAAAACTGAAGGAATAAATTTGTGAGAAATTATGGCTGATCGCAGTTGGGTTTTTAAGGTTTTCAGAGTGTTACATAGAGTTCGCTTATTGGCTGCTTCCTTTCAAAAGACAATGGATTGATATTGCAATAGAGTAAATATTGAAATACTCAAGGAATAAATTAGTGAGAAATTATGGATGATTGTAGTACTTGCACCCAAAGAAGGATGTATTTCTTGTATTAAGTTGATTTTGAAGCTCAAATTATCTCTTAAAAGCAAGATATGTGATGAAGTTGGCATTTTGTAGTGCTTGGAACCGAAGCTTGCCTGCACCAGTGGTTGGTGGGTTTCACTCATTGTTTATCTCATGTGGCTAATACAACAGAACTAAAACTCCGTAAGTAAAAACTTTATTGTGTAGAGGGTGAAAATAACTGGATTCCACCAGTTTCTATTGGTGCAAAATTATTGTTCCTTTTTTTTCTCTATCAGGGATTGAGGCATTTGGAGTCAAGGCAGCAGACGTAAATAGAAAAATCTTTACTGTAGTACCTCCATTGTACTAGGTTTCATAGCCACCCCAAATCTGGTTGAAAGAGTAAATATGGTTTACTCGTTGTAATGTTTTATCTGTACTCTGAATCTTAAGTCACTATTTGTGTGGTTTACTTATTATAGAAAGTATAAAGATAAGATAAGATAAGATCATATACAACAGTAAATTCAGGTGGACCATGTGAGATGTTGTCTTAGATAGGTTAGTCCCAATGAATTAATACGCCATTGAGTTCCGCTGATGATTGATGGTCCTTATTGGAATCTCTCATTGGCAACATAGAGTGAGGCTAACTGTGCACAAGTTCTTGAGGGGATCAATAGACATCATTCTTTTTACGTTACAATGGTGTGGTTCCATAATGGTCTTTCTTGGAACTTCAGAGCGAAAAGCTTTTGCACTTATGCATGAGTTTCCAGTGTAATACCTTTTTAGTGGCTTACTCATGGAAAGTTGGAAACAACTTTCAGTTTCCAACCACTATCCTCTTCATATCAACACTACTAGACCATACCATGAGGTGATTATCCTTTTCTTTCTCCTTTCCCTCCTAGAGTACAGATGTCTTAAACAGCACATTACATTGATATGCACTGGTTTCTCTAGACAAATTCTGCACTGGTTTTTAGGTCCTCATTTCATATAGGTTAAATTAATGATGCTTGAGATCTTCCAAATTCATCAGACTATTTGAGACATTTCACTCAATTCTTTTGGCATCTGAACACTGCATTTGGTGCCCAATAAAACTTGTATTTGACTTCAAATATGAATTCTGACGAAAAAAGGTTTTGCTTCCAGCTGGAGAAGGAGGCACACAATAAAGGTGTTCCAGCAGGACAATCAATTGACATAGATATTCCGCCTCCGCGCCCCAAAAGGAAACCAAGCAATCCTTATCCTCGAAAGTCTAGTTCAGCTGCTCCTACATGGGCCACATCGCATGTGGCAGCAAAGGATGGAAAACTTTTATCATCAACATCATCCTCGCATTGTAAACAAGTAGTGGACTTGGAGAAAGAACCACTTGATGAGGTTATTATTTTTATTATATATTTTTCTGATCCAAATACATTTCATGTTCTCGCGATTCCTGTAATAGTACCTAACCTGCGACTTCTTTATCAGAGACCTACCAAAGAAGACAATCCAAGAAAGGGAAAAGAAAATCGGGATGAAAACTGCGCAGAAGTCTTAACTATGCTCCTAGAAGATCATTGCTCCTCTGTTTCTTCTGCAAACAAAAATTACATACCCACACAGGTGGCACTAAGAAATGCTTGCACTTTTAGGGAGTTTGTGCCTTCCCTGAAAGGGGTAATAAGTCAAGATGTAACAAATGATTCTTATGTCACTACTGAACTTAATGGAAATCAGAATTTGAAGAAAAATGATGCCAAAAAGATAGTTCAAGACAATGGCACAAGTGGAGCCTCAGAGTCAGAGAACACTAATGCTTTTCGTAAGAAGTTGGTTCAAGGTGAGAAAGCAGATGATTTGAATTGTGCATTGCCAACAGATGGGATGCAAGGAACTCAGACCTACCCAAGGAATGTTCCTGTACACGTACTGGATGGGAGCCTAGGGGCATGTAACCAAATTACTCCAGCAGATATGTCATTCACGGATACTGCTTTTCATCCTATGGGCAAGGTTCATGGACAGCCTAACCTTTTCGCAAATCCAACTGCATCTACTACTACTGAACATGAAAGTAATGCATCAAGATCTTCTGTTCACCAATCATTTCCAGCTTTTCACCCTCCCTTCACCCCATTCCATCATGGTCAAAAGGATTACCAGTCATTTCTGCACATTTCCTCCACATTTTCAAGTCTTATTGTGTCTTCTCTGTTACAAAACCCTGCAGCCCATGCTGCAGCTAGCTTTGCAGCCACATTTTGGCCTTATGCAAATGCAGAAAATACAGAAGATTCTCCAGCATGCCCCCCTGGAGGTTTTCCATCTAGGCAAATGAACTCCCCTCCAAGTATGGCAGCAATTGCTGCTGCCACTGTAGCTGCTGCATCTGCATGGTGGGCATCCCATGGATTGCTTCCCTTGTGCGCGCCTGTTCAAACTGCTTTTAGCTGTCCTCCTGTGTCCATGACTGGGGTTCCATCAATGGATACCGGTGAAGCTCCTGCAGCCAAGATAGAGAGAGGAGAGAATTCTCTTCAATTTCCTTCCTTGCAGGATCAACAAGTGGACCCAGAACACTTGGAAGCTGTGGAAGCTCAACATCCAGCTTCAAAATCACCAAGTGTGTCATCATCACACTCTGATAACGGAGGTGCAGAACCTAATACTGTACTTAAAGCTGCTGCTGATGAGAAGGTGGTAGCATCAACTGAAGATGTTAATGATTCAAACAATGCAAAGAGCAGAAAACAGGTTTTCTTTGATATTGTTCAGTTCGCATGGGATGGACTACTAGTCCTGCTTTCATCACTTTGTACCTTTCTTCCATTTTCAATAAAATCTTGTTTCTTATTAAAATTAAAAAAACAGGTTGACCGTTCTTCGTGTGGTTCCAACACACCTTCCAGCAGCGAAGTAGAGACCGATGCATTAGAGAAGCAAGAAAAAGGGGAGGAAGAACTGAAAGAACCTGATCTAAATCACCCACCTTCTGACTCGACTTATCGTCGCAGTCGAAGTATCATCAACATTAGTGATCCATGGAAGGAGGTTTCTGAAGAGGTAGCCCAACATAGGGATTGATTTTGATAAATCCGTTTTTGGAATGAATTGTTATCTGATCATGTTAACTACCTTTGTTAGGGGCGTATGGCCTTTCAAGCACTATTCTCAAGGGAGGTATTGCCCCAAAGTTTTTCACCTCCCCCTAAGGACGAAGAGCATCAGACCACTACAAAAGAAGGAAAGCAAAATGCTGAGGAGAAAGATGAAGATGCATCACTATTAGACCTAAACAAAAAGACATGGGTGTCATTTTCGTGCCACCCGGAAGTGGAGAAAAATGTGTCACCCGTAGGAGACAACAATGCAGAGGGGCTGCTGACAATAGGACTTAGCCAGGGAAAACTTAAGGCTCGTCGAACAGGATTCAAGCCTTACAAAAGGTGCTCGGTAGAGGCTAATGAGAACAGGGCAGCCAATGCCATCAGCCACTGTGAAGAGAAAGGTCCCAAGAGGTTACGCTTGGAAGGGGAAGCTCAAACTTGACATTTGGCATTGCATTGCAAATCAAAGGAAACCTTTGTTGTTGCATGCAATCTAATAGTTTCCCCTTTATTTATATATTGTTCCTTTGTGTTTCATTTCTAGTCCAGCAGATCAGAAACTTGCCTTGGTGTGTACCGTATATAATCTACATTTGCTCGTTAACTATCTTGAACCCTTGGAACTGCGCTTGAAAGATTTCCTTAATTAGACTTCAGCTAAGAAACATTTTAAGTATTTGATGGGCCTTGATATGCCCACTTTCCTTAGACTCTTGACTAGCGATTTTACTCTAAAAAAGCCCGCAGGTTACACAGAAACCCCTGTTGTTCTTGCTAGTTCAACTTGTGACACATTTTGTGATATGATCAGAAGCTTTTGCATGCATGATTTTTATTTTCTTTACGAAGCGTAATTATTATTTTCTTCTTGTTTGTGGGGCTTCAGCTCCCTTCGGTTATTATGAGCCTTGCTCAAGTTACATGGAGAAAAATGTTCAAGTTCAACTCCCATTGTAAACAAAAAGATTAAAAAAGAAAAGATAAAAAATTGTAATAAACGTGAAATTCGGCATTTACTGACCACCATCACCATCCATATTTACAGTTTTTCCCATATAAAGAATAGAGAAATTTATTTACAGGAACTCATGCAATAAGGGTGATCTTGTGTCCACAGTGCCTGCAGGCTATATTATATACGTTCCTATTTAGCTGATGTACACATATATATATATATATATATGTCAATGCTAATCATCATCACTCATGTAAATAATGTGATGTCTCATTATCATCCCCCCAAAGTTCGAAACTGCTTGCTGATCTTGCCGTGATTTACCCCATACCCGTAATATGCACAAAAAAAGCCGGTTTTGTCAATGGCTGTACACGAAGGGTCATATTTACTTAGTCCGGGAGTCTGGAGATTGCACAGGAGCAGGCTGTGACTTGAGGAAGTTGATACGACGGGACTCCAAGTTTACAATGTACTGTTGGATTCGCTTCTTATTGGCAGGAGTCAACGAAAATGGTGGGTGAAGTGGCAGGGACGTTGCTTCTCCCGCAATAAAAGAAAGCAGAAGCATAGCCTTCGAGTACAATGCTTCTGCACTACCCTTGTTCTCCATGTACTCGTCTACCTGGAACACAGGCAAAATTTATTTGGTCAGAGATTTTGTAATCTGCAAACAAGATTACAGATGTAACATGAAAAAAAAATGGAAAAAAGGATGGAAGCACACAGGAAGTTTACTTACAGCACCACTTTTTCCAACTTCTAGTGCTTTTTGGAAAATAATTTCCATCGCGTCTGGCACTTCAGCAGCACCTGCAATATATATCACACATTAAGGAGCAAAAGTTCAAATGGAGAACTAGAAAGCATTATCACAGATAGTTTCTTGACAGCCTAACCATCCATATCTTGGATACGATAGGATAACTTCTCTGCCCGATCAAATGCACCAATAAAGCCTTGCTCTGCCCACATTGAAACAGATGAAGGCCTGCTAAAATCTACACTTCCTGAGGCGTTTGGTGACAAACCAGCACCTCCCTGCACACATGAGGATTCATTCGCCGAACTGCCTTCAGGTAGTTCCTTCGCTTCACTCCAAGTGCTGCAAATTTGAAGAGCTTTCTTCCATATAGCCAAAACAACCAGTTGAACTGAAAATGAGTCTAGAAACAGTCCTGCATTATCCTGCAACCAAAAGTAACAATTACCTTGATAAAAAAGTCAAGAGCCGTTGTCTAATCATGCTAATATAATTAAGTGAATCCTTGTGAGGATTCTGTGTGCACTCATGTGTGTATGTTTGTGTGTGTGTGTGTGAGAGAGAGAGAGAGAGAGAGAGAGAGAGAGTTCTGTACAAACAAAAGAAAAATGAAAATACACTACTGTAAATAAAACAAACAAAAGAAAAATGAAAATACACTACTGTAAATAAAACATGATGAGATTTTTTTTAGAACACGATAAAACATCATGATATTGAACTAAGTAAATTATGCTTGGTGCAGGAGAACTGAGTGATGCACCTTTTCCTGAGACAGATCTGCAAGAACCTGAGCGTACTGATGTAACAGATGGAGCCTAGTAGAAGGATGCAGTATAGATAGTCCTTGCACTTCCAGTAACAGGGTTGATCCACAAGATGTTGATGATTTAGCTGATCCACAAGTTTGTGAACTTTCCACACCAATAGAACTAGTTGCCTGCTCCTCTGTTTTCTTTGCAACTGATATATCATGATCATTCTGCTTTGAACCACTGATAGAAGCTCTCGTAGTGGACTTAAGTTGCAGGGATGTTTCAAGGTAATAAGAGAAACTCTCCATTGACGCAAAATGAGGATTGACCATAACATAATCCTTCTCAATGGACTCCATTGAATCAGAAACTGGAGAGGCAAACCAAAATAAATAGTTGAAACAAAGCACAAGCATTCAAAAGAAATTACAAGTTGAAATACAAACCTCGAAGGTGATCCTGTATGTTTGGATCTTGATTAATAGATTTCCTCAGCCTATCACATGCAACATCTTGCTCAAGCCCTTGAACACTCCTAGTGCTGGATGTACTGCCACAATCTTTTTTTTGTGACATTTTTCTGTCATGTGCAGATGGAAAATCTGAACTCAGATTTCTGCTAGATGAGTTTATGGGATGCTTGGAATTCAATTGCGACCTCTTATCGGAGACAGAAGAATTAGACTGTTCAACCATCGATATAAGCGGTGATAGTACTGAAGTGTGTTCAACATTCTGAGGAGCTGATTCAGGTTGACTGCATATATATATGAGTATATAAATATCTATCATATCATACTTAACACATACCAAGTTGTACAAAATGTCAAATGTACCATAATCAATGAATAACACAGTTCGAAGGCTGTGGAATGCTTTACCTAGCTTCTCTGAGAAACTTGTGATTGAAGAACTCCGTAAATGATAGTCGCTCAACTGCAAATTCAAGTTTTGACTTTTACATTGTAGTTTTGTGGAAGGGTTAACTAAATTCTTGATATTCACACGACAATAGTAGTAAATTCTCACTCTTGAGCTGTGATTGTAAATTTTAAATACACACAAGCATAACACCAGAGACACCTTAATATAGCAATCATGACCTGGATTTTGACGTAACAGGCTTCTGCAAAGATCTACACAATCTGCATGCAATTCTTCCAAAGCACCTTGTGGAAACCGCACCCCAGTAGATGTCAGAATATTTTGAAAAAGCTGTATATAGCAAAAATCATTAAAAGACACAAGATAATCCTTTCAAATATTTGTATAATATTTCACACTACAAGTCCTTATTTGGGTAGAAAAAGTGAGGAAAATGCTAAATCTTTACAACTGAGAAAGAAAAAAAAGTTAAGATTTCCACTGACCTGTAATTGACAATTCCCATCAAATGGCGGCTTCCCAGTCACCAGCTGAAACAAAATTGCTCCAACACTCCATAAATCAGCCTGCAAAGACCATAATGTTAAATTAAAGATGACAACAAAAATGGCAAAGATACCTACAAGTTTGTCAATAATGTCACTTTCACATTCTATCACCTTTGCATCATACTTTTGGTTCTGAATAATCTCTGGAGCCATGTATAATGGTGAACCACATAGTGTGTCAGCCAAGTCTTGGGGCGTGAGGGATCTGGCAGACAGATGCATCCAGGCAATGCCCAAGTGCAAAACACATTTAGAAATACTTCTCGCCAATAATTTACTTTCAATTATTGCTAGAAAGAAGTGACCAAAGCTTTTAAACTCTTCCTGTGAACTCAACTGCTTCAGATAATTTTTAGCAAATTGAATTTTTGCTTTAGATAGCATTTGCATAATTTTAATAAACTTCTCTACATAAACATCCAAACAGTTCATGCCGTCTCAAATTTCTCACAAGTTACAGTAAGATATCTGCATCTCTCAGTAGTAGATGTTACTTTCATAAACCACAGGTTATGAACGAAAGGTTTGAATAACAAAGAGAACTCAGAGGCTGATGTTCAACAAAAAAATATTCTTATCACATGGTCAAGTTGAAGGCCAAACAATAGAATGAGCTTTTGGCTAAGCATCACACCACCAATGTAAAAGGAAATGACACAAGAAAACTTTTATTGGGTTCTTCTCGGCAAGCCAAATAAGTGGGATAATGCTGTACTGGCATTGGTTGAATATGTTAGTTATGGACCACTCCATTATGAAACAGTTGTCATAGCAAGACCTCATAAAAACACCAGTAAACTAAATAAGTACACCATTTACTATACAGGCGGCAGCCTTTTTACTTCAGTTGCAGCAGTAAGTTCACAATCAATATGGAAAATGGCAATGCAAAAAGATTATTAAACTTTTACCTCGCAAAACCAAAATCCCCTATCTTCAGTAGTGGGGTTTCTTCAATGGTTGTTGACAAGAGTAAGTTCTACAAGTTTTACCAGAAATCGACAAGTCACTAACCAAGCAGAATAACCGCCAAATTTGTCAAAAGTAACCGACAATATAATGCCAAATTTGTCAAACGTAATCGACAATATAACGCCAAATTTGTCAACAGTAATCGACAATATATCTATATCTATATATGTATATATATCTTCTGAAGAGAGACAGTAATTGACAATATATCAAACGTCATTAACATATCAAACTTCTAGCGAGTCACGACTCGTGACCAAACAAAAACGCATAATTCCCTGACAAATTTGCAAGTTATGCTGATTAATGTGCCTATGATAAACGCCCTCAGGATTAGATAACCTACAATTGACTTTATGGAGAACATATAAAATTCTGGTTCATCATGATAACACAGTACCTGTGGTTTTAAATCTCTATGAATGAGGTGCTTTTCTTGAAGCACTTGCAATCCTGCAGCTGCTCAGGGAAATCCAAATTAAACATGTTAAAGTCCATTAGTATCTACTTATCAGAAGAAACAGAGGGCAAAAACAGAACAGAAAAGGCAAACTATCACATTTAAGAACATTCCCATTAGCCTAATCATAAACGAAAATCCAATCATCCAATCATCCAAAGATTATTTCTAAGAAAGAACAGATACCAAACTGGCCAACCATTTTAAAAGTATTTAAATTTTATCCAATTGAAGAACCGGAATTAATCCAAAAGTCATTGAGCACAAACCCAATCATCTAAACACCAAAAAAAGATGAATTTCAATAAAAACTCAAATTAAAAGCACAGCTGAGCAGA